ACTCGGGAACTGTAGTGCTCGAGGGGTGTAGCACTCGGGAGGTATAGCACTCGAGATGTGTAGCACTCGAGACGTGTCGTGCTTGGGAGGTGTAGTACTCGGGAACTATAGTGCTTGAGGGGTGTAGCACTCGGGATGTATAGCACTCGGGAACTGTAGTGCTCGAGGGGTGTAGCACTCGGGATGTGTAGTACTCGGGAACTGTAGTGCTCGAGGGGTGTAGCACTCGGGAGGCGTAGTACTCGAGACGTGTCGTGCTTAGGAGGTGTCGTGCTTGGAAGGTGTAGCACTCCTCAAATGCTATAGATAGTACTACCAAAGCATTAGGCATAGCACTCCGTGGAGGCTATTGATAGTACTGGCCGCGTGTAGTGCTGGAAGGTGTAGCACTCGAGAGGTGCCGTGCTTGTAAGGTGCAGCACTCGGGAGGTGTAGCACTCCATAGATGCTATAGATAGTACTACTAAAGCATTGGGCATAGCACTCCGTGGAGGCTATTGATAGTACTGGACGCGTGTGGTGCTGGACGGTGTAGCACTCGGGAGGTGTACCTAGTACCTAGTGCTCCAGAGGCGTGTACTATATATCGGTGATAGGTAGTACTGAGAGGGGTAGTATTTGGGGACGTAGTGCTTGAAGGATATTACGTATGGGCTATAGATAGCAGGACAGAGAGATGTGATGCTCGACTAGCACTTACGTAGGGATGTTCCAGAAGATTCACCATCCAAGAAACCAGGCATCCCTAAACCCACCCCCTAGCGCTGCACCCAGGGGTGTGCAAGTACTGAGGGGTGCTCTCATGGATTGCACCGGGACACATCTTTGATGGGACGAGAAGTGCCTTGAGACTGTCAGCTGGGCACTTAAGATGGTCATGTACGTAGAGGGTTCTTTCTCTCGCGCTGCCATACCTATGGAGTGTTTTACGTATCAAACAATTCGCTCACTGATACTCAGCCACTAGACAGCTTTCACGTGAGTGGGAAAAATGAATTGCCTTGGCAAATTTCGGCAAAAAAACGCCGGAGTTATATTTTCCCGTCGACCTGTCCCACAACTTGGCGTGGCTGAATGGCTGGCTCATTGATGTGCGGCTGTTTTATCACACACGCGGTTTCTTGCATGTGTCTCTCACGTAAGCAGTAATCAGATCTCCTTTCAGCCGACACGCGAAAGGGCGGTTCTTCCGCACCCACGATGCACGCCCATATATCCTCTTGAGGGAACCTTTAAACAAAATTTCATCCCTGCGCGACCTGCATTCCTGCCTTGGCAAACTGGCCCGGTCAGCCTAATGCCACCAGGATGGTAATATTTCCTGGGCTCCTGGACAATATTTTAAACTCTCAAGTTCGTATTATGTATACTCTGTAACTGGTTGAGGAATTTCACTCACTTGAGACATTGTGTTGAAGATATGTACATATAATGATGTCCTGAAGTGCCTTACGTTGAACGTGGGATAACCTTGGTGCCATTCCAAATGATGATGTGAAGTGAAAAATGGCTGCGACATTGCGATCGGTGCCTGGACTACAGGGGTGGTGTGCCTAATTCTAGGCTAAGTCCAGAAATTGGGAACAAAGAACTGGTTGAGTTCCAAGTCGCGAAGCATGTAGACTTTGTATATAGTGCATTTTAAGATTTTGACTAAGGGCTATCCCATGGGATTGATTGATTGATTGATTGATTCATTCATTGACTATCCCAGCCACCACTTTTGGCTCTCAGGTCTGACTTCCACCCCACCATGAACTGCCTGCGGCTTGTCAGGCCCTTCCTAGCAGTCGCTTGCTTCTATTTGACAGTAAACACTCCTCTGCGCTGTTATCTTATCTTGTAATGGATATGATCTGATGGGATCCATCCTGTGTTCGTTCCGTTTGTTCGTAGTTCTATTACCGGGCTGCCGAACGCTTGCTGCCCACCGCGATAGTTGCTTGTCTTGGGTGCGCTGCAGGGAGTGCAGATGTTACCGTATGTAAGTACTTGAAATGCACGGGGCATGCTCGTTGATTTCTGTGGGCAGTACCTGCTCATGATGCCGTAGACACTATCAGCAACCGGACATGTCGTAAGGGCGTCTATCGCAGCGATAGTGTGCTAAGGTGTAGGCTGGCTGTGACTGTTGCAGCATATAGAGTGTCTTGAGAAGTGTGTTCTGAGCTGGGTGTGATGTTGTTACTGGTTATTTGTAGACTCGTTCAATTATGATATTGAGAAGTGAAGTTTAATAATGCTTGTTCGATGTGTTGCCATATCCATCCTGGTCGTCCCGCGCCGTCGTCAACTTGGTGACGCCGCGTCATGTCGATAGAGATCAGTCGCCCTTTTCCTTTATTCCACGTCGTTGTCGCGTATTCCTCGATATTCTGTACCGTAAACTGTTGTCGGGCAGGAACAATGGGCGGACCAAGTCCATTTTCCATCCTGGGGCGTACTCGAAAGGGACGCAACCCCCTGTACTGTACTGTTCTGTGATGTTTTTGGTGTTTCATGAGGTTCAGAAGTCAATACTTTTGGCACAACGGCGCCTCATTCAGGGAGGGTAGCCATGCTGTCGCAATGTGTTTGATCCTGTTGTCTGGCTTGTGTAATGTCGTTCTGGCATTCATCTTCTTCGCACCATGTGCCTCGACCGCGTAATCCTCGAGCTCCGATGCCGTAAACGATTGTCGGGCAGGAACAATGGGAGAACCACGTCCATTTTCCATCTTTTTGGCGTACTTGAAGGGGGGCACGACTTCCCTTGCTGTACTGTGACTGTGATGTTTGTGTGTTTCTTGAGGCTCGGTGGTCGGTTTCGGCGCGTCGGCGCGTCGTTAGAAGAAGAGAGATCAGGTCGCTGAGATCTCCTTGGCACTCAACGACAGTAGAACTGTTTGTTCACGTGTTTTCAAGCGAAAAACGCGTGATCCTGTCGTCGGAAGCATCTTTGCAATGGAATATGAAACTCTCCAAAAATTCTTCCATTGCGCTGTTAAGGCGGCGGTAGGCCCCACTGGCAAGATGTATGGTGAAATTGCCTATAAGCCATCCCCCCACTAACGAGCTGCTAACAGCACCAAAAGGGGGGGAATGTTTACAGGAGAGAGTTTGGCTCTCCCATGGGATAGCTAGTATATCGGTGGGAGCCGAGTTTTAGGTCAGACCTAGAAACAGGCTCAACCACCAACTATAAAGCTCCTAACTATTCCTTATTTTTTTTTTTTTTTTATTTAGATAAAACCTAAATTATCACTCAATTCATTCATCATAAACACCTCGCGTCTTAATAGTTTTGAGCTAGTTGAGATGCAACAATTCGCTGATGTACTAATGCTCATACCATTTTTGCTAGTTAGAGCCACCGCGACCACGGGGAAAGCAGCGACAAACATACCGCTGGAACGCTGGTCCCAAATTCAAAGAATATTTTTCCGATTGAAAACGGCGGCTACAGTTCGGCTAGCTCGAGGCTGGGCTACGCTCAAGTTGGAAGCATGGATCAAGGGGTACACATGTATCTTTGTCGTTAGAGACCTGATAGACTCTGACATCGTAAGTTTTGCATTCGCTCGGCCCACAAGCTCACGCGTCGTAGTGGAGAGGGTGGTCACACACAATGCAACCAGATACATACAATGCAAAGTAGTCTAGTTATCTTATCTAATATTGATATGCATTTAAACTACCTGCCTTCCCCAAGTTATTCCTTTTTTTCTTTTCCTTTGATTATTCATAGGCTGTCCTAACGATCCTTTCACTCACCACCCGCACCATCAGTTTCCACTAAATGGATTGAGTCATCCGCCCAGTCCCCACATCCAAGCAGAATGTGTCGCATACCTTGCCGGCTGTGTCCACCAGCTTTGTTGCCATCGCACAGATGAGCATAGAAGCCGATGATTCAGTTCTTTCAACAGTCATTGAAGTGCGTCCGGGGACATTTGGTGCGTCCGGGGACATTTGGTGTGTACGGGGACTCGGTGTGTACGGGGACATTCGGTGTGTACGGAGACATTCGGTGTGTACGGAGACATTCGGTGTGTACGGGGACGGCTGGTGTGTACGAGGACAGTCAGTGTGTTCGAGGACATCCGTATGGTTCGAGGACAGACAGCCATGCGGTACGAGGACAGCCCTTTGGTCCAAGGACAGCCCTGTGGTCCGAGTACAGCCATGCGGTACGCGGACAGCCATGCGGTACGCGGACAGCCATACGGTACGAGGACAGCCCTGTGGTGCAAGGACAGCCCTGTGGTGCAAGGACAGCTAGGTCCGGACACAACCAGCATGGTCAAGTCGGCAATTCCTAAACTGAGATAAGTGCCTAGATATTGATTAAGGAACAATGTACATGGAGTGTATATAAAGGGGGAGTGTATATAGAAGGGTGTGTTTCTGGCGCGGGGCTGAATAGCCAAGCCATTTACGGCGTAGGCACAAAGAAGCCATTTCCAGCTCTTGCATGTCTGTACTCATTAATAAATTCAGCCCATGTGCTAGACGCGAAGAGGTCTTGGGCAGCAAGGTGAAAAATGGGTGGAATCAGCCTGTATTGTACAATCCGGCGAATATACATAGTATTACTACATAGTTTGTACATACATATCATTTATGTACATAAGATATTCCAACGCTTAGCTCACCAAAGCTACCCGTCCAAGCCATTTCTAATGCAGCCAAGCTAGTGATTTTGTGGCGTCTAGAGGATCTTTATTTAATGCTTATGAATAAAGAATTTACGCTATGTCTTATTGGTCTCATATTGTGCGAAGAGAAATGAAGAAAGATAAGACCAAGACCCTGGCTAAAGGCAAATATCTAGCATGTGGTGCCTCACGGCACTGACACGTGATCACGTGAGTCCCCGACATCCAGATGTAGTCGGCGAGGGTTAAATGCAGGAATTAATTGTGAGGAACATGTCTTACTAAGGTGTGTTGTCCTACTGGAGAGGCTGGCACATAATGTGCTGTACTACTGGAAGGGCTATCCCATAATGGGCTAGCACACAGGATGGGCTAGTACACAGGATGGGCTAGTACACAGAATGGGCTAGCACACAGAATGGGCCAGCACACAGAATGGGCTGTCCTACTCTGTAGGCCAGCCTACAATAGGCCAGCCCACACAATGGGTCAGCCTACAATAGGCCAACCTACACAATCGGCCAGCCTACAATAGGCCAACCTGCACAATAGGCCAGCCCGCAAAGAGCTATGTGAGGAATCGATACCGTAGTGGCTTATCAATGAACAATGTAATATAAGATC